CCTGCTGACTAATCGAATCCTCTGACATTAACGCGTGGGACATCTTTCATCCCCTCCTGCCTAATCTTTTGATAGGATCAGAGGGTGCGTTTTTTTCCCTAATGAGCGGCAGCATGTATAAACAAGTTTACACATCCTTCTTTCTAATCCTTGTCTGCCATGCTTCTCCTTTACAGCTTTTCCATGGGAGTCATTTGAGGAATAAAACACCTTTTTTGTGACATCATCACACAGAGAGCTCAAACACAGAACGCGTTTTGTCTGCCAGGATGTATGAGAGGTTTATAAGCGGAGCATTCTTGACCCCATGCCAAAAGAGCTTGCAATCTAATTTGCTCTGCATGCTGCGGCGCACAGAGAGATATTATTTTAACCCTTCGTGGGCCACAGGCATGAGCCAGGCATGGTCAGTGGGTCGTATTCACTAATCTCAGAATTTTAAATAAAGGAAAAAGAAAATGACCATATCATATACAACAAGTAGAGCTGGTGAAATCGATAAACCGGGAGAATGTCTCCCACTTTGGCCTAAAAGTTTCAAATACCTGTTCAATTATTCATTATTGGCAGATTAGTGTCTTACTGTGACAATTTATCACTTGGGAGTTCATTTATTAAGTTCCATATCGTAGTGAATTGAAGTCAGAATGGCAAAGAACACCTGTAAATTCCCTGTTTTGGCATATTCTAAATAATTGTTTTGGGGTTTTTTAGGAGCACCAACATGTTCAGCAGCGCTGTACACAAGGTACACCAACAAGTATTTAAAGCAAGAAAGCATTTCCTAAGTGCAAATGCCATTCGCCACTTTGCAGAAACCAAGGTGAAAATAGTGAATTCAAAGCCAAGTTTGCTAATTATAAGTGGACATCTCACATGCACATACAGGGGTGTTGTACAATGTTACACTCAGCTGTTGTGGCATGAAAGTTTTACGTTTTTCGTTATTTAATGTCGAGGGGTTTATCTGCTAAATATTCAAATTTACAGTCAAATTGCAAATAGTACTCAACAGGTTTTTCACAAAACAGAGAATTTGTGGAGAGTTGCACATTCTGAGCCAGGACGACAAGTTGCAAAGCTTTTTAACTTTTTCATTTTTCAAAGCTCCAAAAAATAATAGTGGGAGTTTGAGGAGGACCGAATTTTGTAAACTTTTACAGCTCGGCTGGTTTGGCCCCAAATTTGTAATTCCCTTCCACTTCACAAATAACACAGAAAAAAACTGGACTATTCTGACTTAAATATTGCCGTTTGCGGTTAATTCACCATTCGGCGCATATCATCTCTATCATATCATAAAAGCAAATTGAAATCATTTCACAGTATTTATTACTTGAAGAACTGCTGCGGTAACAAGTCACATACATTTATACAGAAAGAAAAAAAAATGAAATGACTGCCACCCTAAACCTCTATGACTTATGCTGGAATCAGTTACAGAATATTGTCTGCGCTTATCCTGCATATAAATTGAAACTAATCATCACATTAGCCAGACATTGTTCATACTGTCCTGGTCATACTGGCCAATGTACAAAACAGAACCAAACAGAAAAAAAAAGTGTAGAAGACAGCAAATAAACCGGTTAAGGTATAAAACCGCTCACGCCTAATACTCGAACAATAGGCGCCCAAATGCCAAAATCTGGGCAGCAGCCCTTTACCAGAGTGGAAATAACCCAAAACTCCAGAACTGAGTCAGTCTGGACATTAGACAGACAGCAAACACTGAACAAAGTATAAAAATCACTGAATCCCACAAAAACTGACTTAGCTTAGATGAAATCACTTTGTAAATAGGTACAGCACTGAGCTGGCACTGAGGGGGTTACAGCCAATAATACACTACTCACCTGGCTAAGCAGCAGCAGTGACACAGTTAATAGGATCCCACTCAGATACATGGCTCCCAGACAGATGTTCACAGCTGGAGATCAGATTTGGGGTTCTTGTTAGTCCAGTATAGAGACACTGTGCCCAGAGTAATCCTGCTCTGTAAGAGACTGTGCAATGTAGCAATGAGAGAGACACTGGATCCTGCTCTGTAAGAGACTGTGCAATGTAGCAATGAGAGAGACACTGGATCCTGCTCTGTAAGAGACTGTGCTATGTAGCAATGAGAGAGACACTGGATCCTGCTCTGTAAGAGACTGTGCAATGTAGCAATGAGAGAGACACTGGATCCTGCTCTGTAAGAGACTGTGCAATGTAGCAATGAGAGAGACACTGGATCCTGCTCTGTAAGAGACTGTGCAATGTAGCAATGAGAGAGACACTGGATCCTGCACTCTCTCTCTCTCCCAGGGACCCAGCTTCCTCAGTGTGAGTGCTGAGTGCCCACTCTGTACCCAACTAACAGCTTCAAACTGCCTCTAACATCCAGACATAAAAGAGGGGAATCTAAGAGGCTGGGTGGGAGGGAGGCAGGAGGAGGGAGAGGGGGGAAGCCTCCCAAATCCTTAAAAAAGGAAGAAGTTTGTAGGATGGTGATTGGAGAGGGGGCAGGTGAGGGAGGGAGGGGGAAGGTTTCACCAACTTGGGTGGAGAGAAAGAGAGAGAGAGAGAAAGGAGACAATGGCTTTTAACTATGTAAATGCTGCATTAACTTAAAGGGGACTTACTGTGCCAACAACTGCTTAAAGGGGACTCACAGTGTTAGTAATAATGAGTATTAGAAATAACCGACATACCGCTTTATTAAAGGGGACTCACAGTGTTAGTAATAATGAGTATTAGTAATAACCGACATACCGCTTTATTAAAGGGAACTCACAGTGTTAGTAATAATGAGTATTAGTAATAACCGACATACCGCTTTATTAAAGGGGACTCACAGTGTTAGTAATAATGAGTATTAGTAATAACCGACATACCGCTTTATTAAAGGGGACTCACAGTGTTAGTAATAATGAGTATTAGTAATAACCGACATACCGCTTTATTAAAGGGGACTCACAGTGTTAGTAATAATGAGTATTAGTAATAACCGACATACCGCTTTATTAAAGGGGACTCACAGTGTTAGTAATAATGAGTATTAGTAATAACCGACATACCGCTTTATTAAAGGGACTCACAGTGTTAGTAATAATGAGTATTAGTAATAACCGACATACCGCTTTATTAAAGGGGACTCACAGTGTTAGTAATAATGAGTATTAGTAATAACCGACATACCGCTTTATTAAAGGGGCTCACAGTGTTAGTAACAATGAGTATTAGTAATAACCGACATACCGCTTTATTAAAGGGGGCTCACAGTGTTAGTAATAATGAGTATTAGTAATAACCGACATACCGCTTTATTAAAGGGACTCACAGTGTTAGTAATAATGAGTATTAGTAATAACCGACATACCGCTTTATTAAAGGGGACTCACAGTGTTAGTAATAATGAGTATTAGTAATAACCGACATACCGCTTTATTAAAGGGGGCTCACAGTGTTAGTAATAATGAGTATTAGTAATAACCGACATACCGCTTTATTAAAGGGAACTCACAGTGTTAGTAATAATGAGTATTAGAAATAACCAACATACTGCTTTATTAAAGGGAACTCACAGTGTTAGTAATAATGAGTATTAGTAATAACCGACATACTGCTTTATTAAAGGGGACTGACTGAACCAATGATAAATTAACTATCATTTACTGTACTAATAATCACTCAGCTAATACTTTGTTGAAGAAATGTTCACTTAAAGGGGGAACAGCAGACTAATATTTATAAAGAGAATTTACTGTGCTTATGATTACTTTGAGGGCACTCTAAGTACCATAACCACCATTGAGCATTATAAAACTAGAAGTCCCAAGACACCATCCCATTAATAAGACTCATGATGTTTTTAAATGTTTTGACACTTACCTGGGCCCCCCCTGGGCACCATCAGTCCGGCCCCTTAAGACCCCTTAAGATACCCTTAAGGTATCGATACAACAGAAGTTCCCCTAGCTTTGCCCTACTTTGGAAATAATTCATTGGATATAGGGTACATGCTCGGCCAATATATCCCATCCAAAGATGGACGGAACGGACTATGTTTACGGAGAAGTAAGAATTCAGACTAGAGGGGCATGGGGACTCAGGTTAAGCTCAAACTATTCTCAAACAGGGCGATCATTAAAGGACAACTGTCATCAAATTGTCGGTTCTTGTTTTTTTTTTAAGTTTACTACATTTATTGAAACTTAATGATATTTATTTAATTTATGGATATTAATTTTTTATTTTTTTTAGAAAGGTGGAGCGGCCGTGTTAGGTCTGCTGCTCGACCTAACTTACCTGCTGCTGTGATTGCCCTGTGCGAAGCTGCCGCAGGTACGTTAGGTCCAGCACCAGGTCGTCAGATAAGAGTAGAGTCAGACCTAAGAAAATGATTTTTTTTAAAAGTCAATATACAACATGTACAACATTGCAAAAAATATAATTTAAGGGCACCTGTCATATCCCAAACAACTTATTAGATTGAGTAGAAAATGATATCTAATTGTTGTACTGGCAGTTTTGCAAATGTATAGATTGAGAGAAAAAACGATTTAAAGATATTTTTCCTCCCAGCTGCCGGTGTGCCGAGGCATTGACTGACAAGGGAGAGCTGGAAAGAACTCCCACAGAGTCTCCAACTGCTCTCCTCCCACAGCGACATTCCTGACCATAACCACTACAGCATACTTTAGTTGTGATGGTGCTTAGAATGCCCTTTTAAAGAGACTGTCACTTTCCTGGTTTTGTTTCTAAATTGATAATTTTGTTGTTCCTCTATTTGCCCTGGTTTTCCTTTTCCTTTTTATAGTTATACATAAAATAGGGACTACGTTCCATTATAAGGAGGGTGATCTTTGACATTTTTGGTAATGGGCGGAGCCTTAGCAAGGTTCCTTTTTAGTGTCTAATTTTACCCATAATCCATCAGTCAAAAGAATCCAACAAAAATCAAAGAGCAGACATTATGGACAGAGGAGAACGAAATGGCTGCGCCCATACATTGAGATCCAGTGCAAGGAAGAAGAAATAACAAATATAAATCACGGTCAATGTAAATTTGATAGACAGGTATAATCATTAAAGGGACACTATGGCCACCCAGTGACTACTTCGCCTCGTAGACGTGATCTGGGTTCCGTGGTCCTGTCCCCTTTATTCTGCAATGTAAAGGTTTAGAGAAATTGCAATAACATGCCTCTGAACCGTCCCGATTCTCTGGACCTGCCCCGTCATAGTCCCATGGAGTCCCGCTGTTAGGACCACCAGGGAACTGTCCCCAGCATTGATAACACAAGAGCATCATTAGAAGTGCTTGCTCTATGTTAAGGGAATGAGGACCCTGCAGGGAGCAATAAGGCACTGACACAAACAGCCAATGGCGGCACAGCCCCCTCCTCCATAATGCCTGCCCGTCCTCGTCTTCACCACCTCCAGCGAGGGCAGTAATGTCAGGCTGCAGGGACAACTTGGCCTCAGCGCTGGATAAAGGTAAATTTTAGCTATATATTTTTTTAATTAATTTTTTTATAATCTTTTATTAATTATGAAAACATTGGGTTTTGGTTTGAATGACTATTTGAAGGGGAATCGCTGGACTTATACTTTATTAAATGTTTAAAGGGATCCTACAATGCTACTAATCACTTATAGAAAATAACCTAGCGGGTTAATACTTTATTAAATTAAACCTAGTGCGTTAAAAGGTACTTAAAGGGGACTCACTGGACTAATACTTTATTAAAGGAAACCTAGTGCGTTAAAAGGTACTTAAAGGGGACTCACTGGAGTAATACTTTATTAAGGGAAACTCAGTGTGTTGAAAGGTACTTAAAGGGGACTCACTGGAGTAATACTTTATTAAGGGAAACTCAGTGTGTTGAAAGGTACTTAAAGGGGACTCACTGGACTAATACTTTATTAAAGAGAAATCATTGAGCTGATAATTGAGGAATTGCTGATCCAATATTTTAAACCATTGGTCTCACTGGCTGATATCATCAAATCGAGGACTCACGTTACAAACAGGCACAATCTGGGATCTATAAAGCAACATATTATCACCAAACACTGGAACTTTCTGCCACTTCCATTGAAGGTTTTAAACCATTGAGTTGGGCAATACGTGATTTGTAGTAATTATTACTGTAAGACCACTGACATATAAATGACCATTAACTCCTCCTACTGATACCTGTATCTCCTCACTGACTCCTCCTACTGATACCTGTATCCCCTCACTGACTCCTCCTACTAATACCTGTATCCCCTCACTGACTCCTCCTACTGATACCTGTATCCCCTCACTGACTCCTCCTACTGATACCTGTATCCCCTCACTGACTCCTCCTACTGATACCTGTATCCCCTCACTGATTCCTCCTACTGATACCTGTATCCCCTCACTGACTCCTCCTACTGATACCTGTATCTCCTCACTGATTCCTCCTACTGATACCTGTATCCCCTCACTGACTCCTCCTACTGATACCTGTATCCCCTCACTGACTCCTCCTACTGATACCTGTATCTCCTCACTGACTCCTTCAACTGATACCTGTATCTCCTCACTGACTCCTCCTACTGATACCTGTATCCCCTCACTGATTCCTCCTACTGATACCTGTATCCCCTCACTGACTCCTCCTACTGATACCTGTATCCCCTCACTGACTCCTCCAACTGATACCTGTATCCCCTCACTGACTCCTCCTACTGATACCTGTATCCCCTCACTGACTCCTCCTACTGATACCTGTATCCCCTCACTGACTCCTCCAACTGATACCTGTATCCCCTCACTGACTCCTCCTACTGATACCTGTATCTCCTCACTGACTCCTACTGATACCTGTATCCCCTCACTGACTCCTACTGATACCTGTATCTCCTCACTGACTCCTCCTACTGATACCTGTATCCCCTCACTGACTCCTCCAACTGATACCTGTATCCCCTCACTGACTCCTCCTACTGATACCTGTATCCCCTCACTGACTCCTCCTACTGATACCTGTATCCCCTCACTGACTCCTCCAACTGATACCTGTATCCCCTCACTGACTCCTCCTATTGATACCTGTATCCCCTCACTGACTCCTCCTACTGATACCTGTATCTCCTCACTGACTCCTCCTACTGATACCTGTATCCCCTCACTGACTCCTCCAACTGATACCTGTATCCCCTCACTGACTCCTCCAACTGATACCTGTATCTCCTCACTGACATCTCCTACTGATACCTATATCTACTCATTGACTCATCCAACTGATACCTGTATCCCCTCACTGACCCCTCCAACTGATACCTGTATCCCCTCACTGACCACTCCAACTGATACCTATATCTCCTCACTGACATCTCCTACTGATACCTATATCCCCTCATTGACTCCTCCAACTGATACCTGTATCCCCTCACTGACTCCTCCAACTGATACCTGTATCCCCTCACTGACTCCTCCAACTGATACCTGTATCCCCTCACTGACTCCTCCAACTGATACCTGTATCTCCTCACTGACCCCTCCAACTGATACCTGTATCCCCTCACTGACTCCTCCTACTGATACCTGTATCTCCTCTCTCGTTGTACTGATACCTGTATCTCTCTGTGTATTAACACCTGTATTTTATCATTCTTTCTCTCCCAGTTATTACTGACTGGCCTAATTCACAAGGTGACATTCAGTTTGGAGTTAGACCATGATGTGTTACTCTCCACACCCTGTTGAGATCCCTCCAATAGCCCTAGTGGATGTTTTACAATATCCTGTGTATTTTTATTGGTGCAATCACTGCTTCTAGCTGCAGGAGAAACACCTGTCCACAATGAGATAATTAGCTCCCTGGAGCAAGAATCGTATAATAAAGGGTTCATACTACGTCTTTTATTATACATGGACAGCGTGATTTAACCCCTTAAGGACCAAACTTCTGGAATAAAAGGGAATCATGACATGTCACACGTCATGTGTCCTTAAGGGGTTAAACAGAATTGTAAATCCACCCAAAAATTATGAAATAATAGATAATCACCAAATTGTTGGGAGCAAATTGAAATGTACAGGTTAGATTGATTCTGAAACCCAGGGACAAGTGTAGACTGATGGTTTTGTCTGATCATTGTATGGAAATTCACATATTGCAAATATCCCACCAGGGACAACTTCAAGTAAGTATATCTCACCTCCGCTGCACCCTGGGCCCCTGCACACCACCACCTGCACATCACCATCACTATAACACCCAACACTGTTACATTCAGACAACACTAATCAACAGAACTGGAGAAATTAGTTTGGACCTCAATGTGGACTAAGACAGTCCAATCCTGGTCAGCTATTGGCCTTCGAATCCCAGAATTCTCGATTCTTGGCCCTTTATTATTATTATTATTATATATTCCACTTATTAATGTGTAAAATAAAGTCATTCTGTATAGGGAGAACTGGGAACCAGAGTATTCGTGGTGTTGTAACGTGGACAATATGGGGATCTACAGGGAGTGCAGAATTATTAGGCAAGTTGTATTTTTGAGGATTAATTTTATTATTGAACAATAACCATGTTCTCAATGAACCCAAAAAACTCATTAATATCAAAGCTGAATATTTTTGGAAGTAGTTTTTAGTTTGTTTTTAGTTTTAGCTATGTTAGGGGGATATCTGTGTGTGCAGGTGACTACTACTGTGCATAATTATTAGGCAACTTAACAAAAAACAAATATATACCCATTTCAATTATTTATTATTACCAATGAAACCAATATAACATCTCAACATTCACAAATATACATTTCTGACATTCAAAAACAAAACAAAAACAAATCAGTGACCAAATAGCCACCTTTCTTTGCAAGGACACTCAAAAGCCTGCCATCCATGGATTCTGTCAGTGTTTTGATCTGTTCACCATCAACATTGCGTGCAGCAGCAACCACAGCCTCCCAGACACTGTTCAGAGGTGTACTGTTTTCCCTCCTTGTAAATCTCACATTTGATGATGGACCACAGGTTCTCAATGGGGTTCAGATCAGGTGAACAAGGAGGCCATGTCATTAGATTTTCTTCTTTATACCCTTTCTTGCCAGCCACGCTGTGGAGTACTTGGACGCGTGTGATGGAGCATTGTCCTGCATGAAAATCATGTTTTTCTTGAAGGATGCAGACTTCTTCCTGTACCACTGCTTGAAGAAGGTGTCTTCCAGGAACTGGCAGTAGGACTGGGAGTTGAGCTTGACTCCATCCTCAACCCGAAAAGGCCCCACAAGCTCATCTTTGATGATACCAGCCCAAACCAGTACTCCACCTCCACCTTGCTGGCGTCTGAGTCGGACTGGAGCTCTCTGCCCTTTACCAATCCAGCCACGGGCCCATCCATCTGGCCCATCAAGACTCACTCTCATTTCATCAGTCCATAAAACCTTAGAAAAATCAGTCTTGAGATATTTCTTGGCCCAGTCTTGACGTTTCAGCTTGTGTGTCTTGTTCAGTGGTGGTCGTCTTTCAGCCTTTCTTACCTTGGCCATGTCTCTGAGTATTGCACACCTTGTGCTTTTGGGCACTCCAGTGATGTTGCAGCTCTGAAATATGGCCAAACTGGTGGCAAGTGGCATCGTGGCAGCTGCACGCTTGACTTTTCTCAGTTCATGGGCAGTTATTTTGCGCCTTGGTTTTTCCACACGCTTCTTGCGACCCTGTTGACTATTTTGAATGAAACGCTTGATTGTTCGATGATCACGCTTCAGAAGCTTTGCAATTTTAAGAGTGCTGCATCCCTCTGCAAGATATCTCACTATTTTTTACTTTTCTGAGCCTGTCAAGTCCTTCTTTTGACCCATTTTGCCAAAGGAAAGGAAGTTGCCTAATAATTATGCACACCTGATATAGGGTGTTGATGTCATTAGACCACACCCCTTCTCATTACAGAGATGCACATCACCTAATATGCTTAATTGGTAGTAGGCTTTCGAGCCTATACAGCTTGGAGTAAGACAACATGCATAAAGAGGATGATGTGGTCAAAATACTCATTTGCCTAAGAATTCTGCACTCCCTGTACAATAGAATCCGTAGAGTTTTTCTTCTCAGTCTTTGAATTTTCTGTCCAGACATATTCCCTGCAGACGGACCTCGTGGAGTACCCAGCTGCCAAAACACAGTGTGGACCCATCACACGGGACAGTGCCGGGACCAAGAGTGTCACATCCAATCCAG